AGGTGGATGCTGCACACTGGTGGTGGATGAGGAGATACCCCCTGACAATGTAAAGCGCTTTGAGTGCCTAGAAAAGCGTTATATAAATGTAATGAATTATTATTATTAATGCTTTGCGAGCTTTTTCTCAATCGTTCCATTTCAATAACTTTTGTTGTGCTATAGTTCTGTGAATAAAACCAACATCTAAATGTTCTTGTATGAACCAGTAATAAGACACACCCCTTGTATTTGAGTTTTTTTTTTTATATATACACATTTCACAAGTGAAGCATTTAGATGGAATAGTTGTGCTTTTTGCTCTTAGTTTTGCACTTTGCAGACGGTCCCTATCCTGCACTTTTACATTATAAGGTCTTTCGGTTACAATACTAAAACACATTGTGTGTTCTCTTCTACATTTGAAAACAATTATAACACATTATGTTTCTTGTCCTTGTGCTACATTTCTCTGACAAATGTCAAACAGTCGAACCAACTTTATATCGGTTGCAGCCTTCCGTTTGAGAAGCACCCCAAAGTTGATCCAATAACACCGGAAAATGAAAACGAAAGTGTTTAGAAAACAAACATAAAACTTACCCTCCGTGATCAACGAGTATAGGAAGAACAATACAAATGTCTTCATGATGCTGTTGGTTTTAATCAAATCTGATTTCCCGAAGACGAACGGTAGATATTATTTGTAATAAACTGCTCCGTTGTTTCTGGGTGTGTCAAGAGTCGCAGCAATAAAACTGACAGAATCGAAAAACCGATTGCTGATCGAAAAAGACTTAATACTGACTAACAATATACTGGACACTTTTCTTGATTATATCTGGACTGCTAACTTGCAGCTTACTGCTAACTTTTTCTCGTCCATTATTGTGAAAGGAAAACAGTGCAGCGTGCACTCTGAAATGGCCGAATCGTCTGCGTCACGCGACGCACGCCACAATTTATACTGTTGAATCATGGTTTACATGAAAATAAATACTATATTATTATTATTATTATTAAAAACTTCATGCAGGGAATAGAGATAGTCAATATTAAAAAAAAAAAAACATTAACATAATGTAAACATTATTTTTATTATATACAATATTTACACAACATGAATGTGTTTTCTCCATCAAAGAGTAAAATAAATGTCCTAGTGGGCAGGGCAGGACCTAAGCACAGCATGGGCATGCACACAAAGTGACAGAACCCTGATAACACAGGAATTTACTAAAATGATAGTGTGTGTGTGTGTGTGTGTGTGTTTTCAATAATCAGCTGTCACTGTACTGTATCTTAGGTTATATACCAGGTTTAGGTGAAATCATTTCAGGTGTAGGTTGGGGGATGCAAGTCAGATGGTGAATGGTGCATTAGGTGAAGGAAATAATTTAAAAGCAAGTAAAGAGAAATAGGAAATATTAGGGAAATTACTAGAAATCACGTGACTCGAATGTGTGATTGTTAAATACATACTTAAAACTTAAATGCACATGTTCAGTTTTTATTGTGTGATATTATGTCTGGAGAAAGACACTAGAGGCAGAAGTATGTGATCACATGTTCCTAGACATTACAAAATCCAGTTCAAACAAGAGTTTGTCTAAAATACAGTGCAGTTTCATTAATAGTATGCACTGTTTAAAAACATGCGAGAAACAGAGGGTGTGAATAATGCTGAAAAATAACACAACTGTGAATCTCTCTCTCTCTTAAATACACACCCACACACACAGAGAGAGAGAGAGAGAGAGAGAGAGAGAGGGTGAAATAACAGACTGGAACAGTTTTAATTTCAAGTTGATAAAGGGTCTTAGTCTTATATTGCCTTTGCAATCATCTTAAGTTGATTGCAGACCCCTGAACTTCTGGAAAAAAAAAATGTTTCTCTTGTTTGCGTGTTGCTGTTTGTGCTTTTCGCATCTGGTTGGTGAGTAACAAACATGTTTTTACGGTTTGAATCAATATCACATGTGAGTCTAGATTAATGTGTGTTATCATAATCATACACAATACTTAGTTTTTCTTATACGGAGATATTTATTTTACTTTAATAACAAGTTCAATGTGTAAATGTCCTAGTCCTAAAAAAAACTATGCCATAGTTTTTTTTTAAATAGGCTACATTTATTTCATACTAAGTAGCCTATACTTCAAATCTTTTAACATATTTATTGACATATCACGGAAGACCTACACTGTAACTGATTTTTGTAATTTGAACAGTATTTTACTGTAACGGAGTGTCTATTTACACTAAGTGCAAATAGCCCGCCTTGTTGGCAGAGGCTATTTAAACTAACTCCGCCAACGAACGTGTGATTCAGCTAGTCAACAATACAAAAGACTGTCAACAGTTGTCAGCTTTAGTGGTGCAGATGATACAATATGTGTCGTAATCATTTTGACTCTATCGACCAGGGTTCGAATCCGCCTTTTGGCAAACTTTTTTCTCCCTTTTCAAATGTCAAATAACATCAGAAAAGCATTTATTTTCAATGAAAATGA